CAACGAGGAGCCAGAAAGAGCACACCTGCAAATGTGCGCAGGGCAGTGCCACCGACTGAAACCCAGCTCTCAGTGTCAAGAGAACAAAGGAGAGGGGACTCAGTTGTACCATGATCCTAAGAGGAAGGAGGTGGCGTGGAGAGCACTGGCTAGACAGCTCCCTGTGCTGGCTGCAGCCTCTGGGACCCGAGGAGCCAGGTGTCTGAAGGTGTGGCCGGGGCAGGACGGGAAGGGATAGGAACAGGGCAGCGGGTACTCTGGTTATCAGTTGGGTACCTCTCACAGTGGGCACACTTCTCCTGATTGGGGATGGGCTAGGCCTGGGAGAGCCCACCCTGGACCAGCATGCAGGAAGAAAGCCCCCTTCCCTGCAGGATCTGGGACTTCTTCCCCACTGAGCCCAGCCCAGCCTCGTGCTCCTCCCAGGCAGCTCATGCCGCTGCTAGAGATGAAGCGGGTGTGCTACCTCTGCCCTGAGCACCCGCGCCACGCCTGAAGGGCTGCCCTGATTGCCCATCGAGGCTCCTCCCAACCCCTCCACCATGCACCAAACATTCTGTCCTTTATCAACATTCCCTTTTTCTAAGGAGTCACTAAAACTCCCCAAAGGGTCAACAATGTAATTCTGTGTGAAGACAGACAAGATCTGAAGGTTTGGAACAAATGATTCGTATATAATTATCCATCCACCAATCCCTCAGGGCCTTCGAAAGCCCAGAAGCAGAGGAGAGCAATCTCAGAGCTAAACGGCAGGCACCTACAGCTCTTGTTGGTGGCTGGTGACCAGGGCACATGTGAGGCTCGTCCTCATCCTCGGCAATGAACTTCCACCCCTAATAATACACCTGCAAGGAAGATGCCCTTTTCAGAAGGAAGGAGGGAGGACCGGTAACCAGCAGGTGAGGCCCCTTGTCAGTGGGGACAAGCCTCAGCAGCCACTTCCCAGCAGGCGGGCAACGATGAGGCAGCTGAACCGCAGTGAAGCCCAAGCTGGCGTTTGTCACTTCCTTGAGGACACCTCCTGCTTAGGAATAGATGTGGTGCAGCCAGGCCAGGTGGGGGAAGGGGCCTGGAAGAGCAGGAACCCTAGAGCCAGGAGGACTCCTGGGACCTGGTCCCCAGGTGGGCAGGTGGGCGGTGCCCTTAGACTCTGACCAGGAAAGAGCGGGAGGCCCAGAGCCCCTTGCGCTCCCTCCCAAGCTTTTCCTCTGACCCAGCTCCTGTGGGGGCCACACGGCAGCGCCCCCAAGGGGCCAAGCCTATGTTTAAGGGTTTGTGTTTTTCTGCTTGCTTTGCTGTGATCGGGACGTCTTGAGAACAACCCACATTCCTTCCTCTCCTGCACGTTCACATCCTGACCCAGGAGGAGCCCCCCACAGTGCTCTCCTGGGACGTGGCCAGATAATCAGCCATTAAGCTAAGCTTCTGTCTTGAGCACCACACTGTGCTTTCCTAAAACTAAAAAGATGTTCAGGGTGGAAGGAATTCTTTTCCTGCCCAGCCGTGGGTCATTCAGAAAACCTAATTGAGGTAAGCCTGTTTCCCTGCACAGTCAGTGGGGTTTGGGCTGGGAAGCTCTGTTCAGCCAACCACCTGGACCTTGGCCAAAACTGGGTCCAGAGACAATGAAGTAACATTTGATTCTTGGAGCAAATGCTACAAAAGGGCACATTCTCCCAAGTCACAGAACGTCTGTGTCCCCCTCCCTCAAGGTACATGTGAACATATCCTCCCCAGGGTGAAACATACGCAGCTTAGGCCTTGAACTGTTTGTAAAGAAAACAAAGTATTTTTATACAAGGTGAGCAGCAAGCCCCGAGCCTCCTGTCTGAGCAGACATCCCACTGTCTGTCTGCAGGGCCCACCTGAAGAGTTCTTTATTAATTCTTCCCAGGTATGCCAAGGAGGATAGTAACTGGCAAGAAAGGAGTATCTCAAACTGATGCCCACTCAGTGAACTGTGCCCAGTGGGTACAGGCCTGTCATGATGCCCACCCAGGGACTCCATCCCCAGGGAACAGCACCAGACGGTGTCCCTCCTTATCCCGAGGGCCTCTGATCTCTTCAAAGCAACCACCTTTGCTGGGTGGCATAGGTGCCTTAAAAAGAGCCCCCAGAGGGGTGAGGGGTTGGAGAGGGAGACAAGCCACGGCTGCCCTTGGACACTCAGGCAGCTGTCCCCGGGGGCCATCTGCTCCTCTCTAGGCCCCTGGGGGGGGGAGGGGGTGCCTGGGACCACAAAGACAGGAAGGCACTCCCTCTCCATCCTCAGAACACAGCGATAGCTCTTCCTTTAATGTTCTTTGATGTGACAAGGGCTGACACAACCTTGAAAAGACTGCTCACAGGAAATGGGACTAGAGACAGAACCGTAGGCTGCTCTCCCAGAGAGCTCAGGAGCCGGACAGAGCTCAGTTCAGCATGACCCCCGGGTGCCCAAGGTGGAAGGGGTTTTGAATAAAAAGTCCAGAGTTTCTTTCCTCTCCACCAGCTCAGCTCTGTCTCTGGGCAAGGGACATTCCTTCCCTCCGCAGTTGGACAGAGAAATGGGGCAGACTAGACCAGTGGTTTTTATTAGCAGTTAGACCCAGATATCTTCCTCATCATAGTCAACCTAAAACCCCAATATATAAATTGAGCCAAAGGAGAGCTGTTCATGCCAAACCGGGGCTTGGAGCCAGAGCCCACCTACTCAGGCTACTGGCCCTTAGGGAATCCAGCTCGAAAAAGCCCTTCCAGAGCTCTTCCATGCTCTTGTGGTGTACCTAGGAGAACAAAAGGAGTCACCAATGACTTGGGACTCTCCAGGTGCTGGGGAGTTCACCCATTGTGTGTCACTGAAATCAATGCAACAGCAACATGGGGCTAATTAGCTTGTGAACTAAGCTCTGTGGTGATCTGGGCTAGGACCTGGGACCACTGGCAAGAGGTAGAAGTAGGATTTGAACCATGGGTTTTCTGAGTCCAAACATAATATCCCTCCCCCTTCCTAAGATGCTCCCCTAGATGTGTGTAGTCCTGGGCCATCAACCATTCCCTTGAATGGTAAATGTCAATACAAGGGCATATATGCATAAGAATAGGCCCCTCAGGGCTGGGCTGTGGCTCAGCAGCAGAGCACTGGCCTAGCGCATTCGAGACTCTGGGTTCCATCCTCAGCACCATATAATATAAATAAATAAAATAAAGGTATTGTGTCTAACCACAACCAAAAAAAATTTAAAAAAAAGAATAGGCCCCTCAAAATCATTGTTAGTTATCTCTGTGTAGTGCTACTGTGCATGATTTCCATGCACATTTTCTAGTTACCCTATAATGAGCAGGTATTACTTATGTAAAACAGGTGTTATTGCTTGTTAAAAGTGGAGCTAATAATTCATACTTCATGCTGGGCTTAAATAGTGAACCGGGGACTGGGGGACAGGTGATACCCATCTTGACCTTTTGGAGTCCAGTGGGACCAACAGCCCAAATCCCACCAACCCTCCCCTGACCTGAGGGGGTGGCAATTCTCAGGGTCATTTAAATTCTCTGAAGTCTGGTTCTGCAGAGTGTGGTTGTTTGAGAAAAGAAAGGTCACAGAGACCCCTCCCACATCCGCCTCTGCTTTTTACTCTGCAAGGTCGCCCCCTTCTTTGGGAGGTGGTGCTGATAAAACTGAAGGTGGTCTCCTGTTCCCATTCAGCTCTCACCCCAGCCCAGTGGACCTGTAGAGAGCACCAGTCAGGCCCACTAACCTCTGCTGCCCCACCCTGAGGGTCCTGCAGCAGCCACTGGTAAATGTAGAGATCACGGTCCACCCTGAAGGCAAGAAGGGCCTTGGCCAGGCTTGAGGCGTGGCAAGGGCTGCCAGGCTTTCCGGTGTCATTCATGGGGCTCTGCCTGCAGGAATCCTCTAAACATTCAGCATGCCCTCTCAAGGTACAGCTCAAGCCAAACGACAGTTGGCGGCAGCTGTGGAGGGGCCTTGAGGGACTGACTAGGGGGCAAGAGGCAAGGCACTGGCTTTGGAAGAGAGCGGGGAGGTGCCCGAGACAATGCTGGGAAGGACCTGAGAGCGCTGCCCGGCTGCTGCTCTGGAATCAGTGAAGGAGGGGACGCGACCATGTGTCAAAGGCAGGCAGTGATGAGGCACAATCCTCTAGACCCCTCTTTTTCAGACAAAGAAAAGCCGAGGCCCGTGCCCCTCAGCCACCCCAGGCCCATGCCAGCCCTGGCTGCTCTGAGCAGGTGGCACATCTCTCCTGCCCCCTGCGGGGAAGGTTAGGATAAAAACGTCCCCCACGCCCATCCCCAAGGACTTCACGGGCCTCACCCCAGATGACTCTGCTCTCCTGCGCCCGGAGGTGTCAGTGCTACCGCCCTGGGGGCCGTCTGTCACCTGGAGACTTCCTGAGCATTCCTGAAGACGCCTGCCCCGTCTCCCACCCACTGCAATAGAAATCAGACCTGGGGGACGCAGGTGTCTACCCCAAGATTCACAGCCGTCCTCCTGTGTCCCACCTGCATTTGCTGCTGTCGATCTGAGAAACCTAAAAAGGAGTATTTTCCGACCTCCGGGGGCCCCGCCTCCGTCTCCCCACTGTCTCCGTGCTGACCCTCCAGGCAGCGCCCCTCGCGCGTCTGGGCTCTGTCGCCTCCACCCGACAAAAGCGTGGCGCCGGGGCGGGTGCCCATCGACCCCGGCATCTCCCCCAGAAACGTGTGTGTCACCGCGGCGCGCCCCTCGGGGCCTCTGCCAGTCTGTCCACCGGGAACAAAGCGGCTGGGGCGCGGCAAGGCGCAGCCCCGCAGCCCCGCAGCCCCCGCCTCGGCCGCGGCGACTCTGCACGCGGGTACCCGCGCCCCTGCCGGCCCGCGGGGCCCGGGGCAGCTACTGTACCTGCTAAATTTAGCGGCGCGGGGTATTAATAGCCAGGCGCCGGGGCCGGCGCAGCAGGGGCGCGCGGCCGGGGCTGGACAGGAGGGGGCACGAAGGGGAGGGGGCGAAGGCCACTTACACCACCAGCCTGGAGATGATCCATGACACCATGGCGGGCGGCGGCGCGGCCCGGTGGCGGCGCTGCTCGGTGCGGGCGGTGCGGCGCTCGGCACGTCAGTGCGCTCACGGCCGCCGCGGGCGGACTGAGCGCGCTCTGCCTGCCCGGCTCTCGCGCAGTCGGCGCAGCCGCGGCACGTCCGGGCGGCGGCCCCAGCCCCCGGCTCCGCGCCCGCAGCGATTGGGCGGCGCGCGGTCAGGCCGCCGGCGGGACCGCCCCGCCCGCTGGCCCCAGCCCCCGCCGAGTTCGGGCGGATCAGCGCCCTGGGCACCCTGCGGGAGACCGGGAGCCGCCCACCCTGGTGTCACCCGAGAAACCCAGGTCCGCACGGGGTCTTTGGGAGTCCATTTGCACCTGTCTGGATGGGATGCTGTCACCGCTCACTCGGATAATGCGCTAGTCTCCTGAGGGACTGGCCTGTACCCAGACCTGACCTCTTCGTTCTGTCCCCCAGAGGCCATTACTGTGTAAGAAACAACCCTAGGCTTGTGTCTCCCTAGACAATTCCTGAATCCCCATTCAGTCCCGTCCCTGCCTACAACCGGATCGCCACCATAGGTTCCCAAATTGCCCCTAGCTCTGTTGCCGCAGGTGCTCCGGACTTTCCTATGAGCTGTCTCCTCCCGCCACCATGCTCTCGGGGCCTCACTGCTGGCTTTAGTTTCTTCAAGCCTCTGCTGAAGGGCTGGGTGAGCTGGAAGCCGCTACCCCTGTCGGGAGCCACACTGGCTCCAACATAAACATTTTAATGTACTTTACACCCGATGTAAACATTTTGATGTACTTTAAGAACACTGCTTTAAATAGTATTTGTCTTGACCACTGAATTTCGTGGTGCCCCTAGATTTTGCACTCCAGTCGGGAGCCGGGTTTTGCTCACCCCTGTGGCGGGCCTGGATGGCCCTCTGGTACACAGGAGAGCTGTGTCCTCGTCCTGAGCTTTGCCAGCTTCCCACCCTGCAGCAGCCCGGTCCTCTGTGGTGCTGTCTCTGCGCCTGTTCTCTTGCTGATGCTCACAGCCTGTAGCATTCTGCAGCATAGGAGAGACCCAGTGTGAGCCTTCTGTAAGGAATCCGCCCAGGAGGGCTTTGGGGAAGAGGCAAGGTGAACTCAGACCTTGGCAGAAAAGGGCCAGACAGATAGAGGCTGTATAGAGGTGGAGGTGTATATACGCACATGCTGGAGAGAGGCTGGAGACAGACTGGTGCACCTTGGTGTCCTCTGTGGCCAGGCGTCTCCAGGGAACCCACAACCCACCTGAGATGTGAGGTTTGTAAATGCTGTTTGACTCAGTTTCAAGGTCCTGGCTGGAGACTAGTCAGTTCCCTTCTTATCACATTCTCACGCTCCAGGCCACTATGCGGCCACTCTAGACACCCCAGGGTCAAGGACCAGACACTGGAGACAGCTCTGGCCAGAGCTCACTAGAACCATCCTTCCTGAACCTGGTATTCCTCCTGCCGCTTTTCTGCCCTCCTAAACCACAGGGTGGTGTTTGCTGACAGGTCCTCCCTTCCTCTGACTGTGACCCTGCTTGAGCCCTGATCCCCCAGGGAACTGGGAGAACAGAAATGTGGAACTCCAGTTTCTCTCTCCTGGTCTGCCTCTGGCCTCACCATACCTCACTCAAGGGGAAAGAGTTAAACAAGTCTCCGCAGAGGAAGGTTTGGAACACTCACTAGGCAGATGGAATGCCAAAACCAGACCAGGAGAGCAGGCACCAAGGTGGCCTCCTGAGACGCCCTTCCTGGGCCCTCCACACACCCTGGAGAGATTGGAAGATGGGTTATGGGCATTATCAGAAAAGGATGGAACCCACACTGCCTCCTTCCCAGAGCACACTCCATACTTCAGGTGGAATTCTCAGGTTCAACTGTTGCAAAGAACAGAAGTTTCAGTTACCAAAATAAAATTCTTCATGGGGTTCAAATGTGTGTAGTCTGGAAGAATAGACCAGCCCCAGCTCTCCTCTGAGAGGTGGGAGAGGGCTCCTCCCGGCCCAGGGCTGAGGGGCAGAGGAGGGGAGGCAGAGGAGAGCCGTGTAGCCCTCTATCTGTCTCAGTGCAACTGTTGCACAAGGCATCTCTGCACACTGGGCCCTCTGTGTTGTCCTTGACCCTGGAAAACGTGGGCTGGGAATGAACTCAGCCTTCTGGACCATGGGGCTCCTACAGCCCGTCTCCTGCTCCACTCTGAGATCCTTTTTGTATGAACCTGCATCTTCTTTCTTTCTGCCACCCCCGCGCCCGCCCTTCCCGCTTCTGAAAAGGGCTCTCCACTTTTTACTGGGGACTGATTCTCCCACATTCCAACCTTAGAAATTCTGACTCTGCGCCCTTTGCCGTCCCCACCTTGATTGGCTCATGGAAGCAGGAGGGTCACCAGACAAACTGGGTGAAGTTCTCGGCTAGGATTCTTTAAATGGAAAACGGGAAAAAGACTTCTGCTTCCCGATGAAGCTCCAATCGCCAGGGGAAAGGCCCTCCTATTGTAACAAGTAGAAATCAGGGAGGTGGAAATGAGGAGAGTCTTGGACTCAGGTGGAGAACCCAGAGCCCAGAGCAGGGGAGGCAGAGACCAGGGCTTAGAGAAGCCAAAGTGGCTAGACCCCCAGAGCACAGGGTAGGGGCCGAACTAATCCAGTCCTGAGCAGGGCTAAACTAATCCAGTCCTGAGCAGGCACAGGATGAAATTCCACTGGCGGGGGGGGGGGGGGGGGGGGGGGGGGGGGGGGGGGATCTACTGGGAAGAAGGAGGCCACGCAACACGGGTGGTTATCTTCACACCAGCCGAAACAGAGAGGCCTCTTACACACACCACGCATGCAGCACACAGAGTCCCCAGGATACCATCTTACTTGTGGGACTAAATGAGTCTTGAAATACTGACCTTCCTTAAAATTTAAAATCAAGCCTCAAAAGGCTCAAACTGATCCCAAGCACCTTACATGTGCTTAGGCATACACCTTAAAGAAATTGAGCACCCACTAAAATAAAATCCACAGCTCTGCTATGGCTCAAACATCCCTCTAGAAGGTGGGTGGAAATTTACCTGGCCGCATGCTGTTTGGGGAGGTGGGGCCCCGAGAGAGTTGAGGTGGATCTCCCCAGGAGGGTTAGCCATAGGGAACGCAGCTTCTTCTGCTTTCTCTGGCCCCAGTCCCCTTGCTCTCACCAGGCGAGGCCCTTGCTGGGTTACCATGCCACAGGAAGACCGGCCCCCGATGTGACCCTTCAGCCTTGGGCTGCCCAATCTCCAGAGCTCTGAGAAACACATTTCCTTTTCAAATAAATGATGGAGTCTGTGATGTTCTGTCATAACAGCAGGAAAACAGGCTAAGCCAAAGTGTGACACACAAACAAGAATCATCAGGTGGAGATCCTGACTCCAATCAGACGAGAAATCAGTCAACTGAGACAGGCCCAGAAATGGTGGACTAAGAAGGCAGGGTCCTTAGATTATGTAATGTTTGAACAGACATTTCACCGAGAAAAAAATAAAAATGGCAAAATAAAAATGCATGAAAAGATGTTTAGCACTATCCATTATTAGGGAAATAAAAATGGGAACCCTGAGGCGTCCCTCTCTGCAGATACCGAAGAATGGCTACAATAACAAGGACTGACCTAGCAGCTGGAATTCTCCGCTGCTGGTGCAGGGTCCCGACTGTCCCCTGCAGGCCTGTGTATTAAAGGTTTGTTCCCAGCGTGGGCGGTCCACAGATGGAGCCTCAGAGGTGGGGTCCAGTGGGAGCTCCCCAGGAGGAGCCAGTCCTCCCCTTTTCTTTTGCTTTCTGGCCAGGGGTGACTGGCTTTGTTCTGCCACTGGCCCTGCTGTGAGGTGCTGCCTCAGCAGGGGCCCCAAAGCAGCAGGGTGGACCAAACCTCCAAACTGTGGTCAAGTGGCCATAAGTTGGCCATCTCAGGCCTGTGTCTTGGCCACAGTGGGAAGGCGGAGTGGCACACCGACGTTTGGAAAATGGTCAGGTAGGGTTTTTATATAAACAGAAATGACTCCTTTTGTGTGTTTATTAGAGCATTAGAGTCATACGTAGTAGTGGGGCTCATTTTGACAGGACCAGGCTTGTAGGGAACACAATGCGCTCCATCCAGTCCCCAGTATTCTCCCTCCCCTCCACCAAGGGACACAGGGCAGCAGGGGAAGGGCACAAGCTGCTGGCACAGGCAGCCGTAGATGAAGCTCACCCCTCAGTGAAGCTAAGTACAAGTGTTTTAAAAACATTGTTCCAACACGTGGGACGTGAAGCTCTGTAACGGTAGATGCCCATATTCTTAGGGGTGTTTTCCTTATTGATTCATTTTTAAATGTTTACATATTGAGAAATGAGGCTTTGTCATCCACACTCCGATGTCATTCTCAGCTGGTCACTTTCTTCGTCAGATGGCTCATGGTATTTCTTCCTGTCAAAATTTTATGTAGTCATATTTTCATAATTTTGGGATTACACAGATCGTGTTTTGCAGGGGCCTTTCCCACACTAAAACTGTATGTTTTTTTTTTTTTTGATAGTTTAAAATTCAAAACTCCCCATTTTTCTGCTTTTATGGTTGCAGTGTTACACCCTGTGGTTCATGTTAGAGGAGTCAGCTGGCTGTCCTGAGAGGCCTCCCTGCCCTCTGCACTCTGTCCTACTGTTCTCTTCTTGGTCGGAATGACACTGAATTTGTAGATCAATATAGAGTTGGTATTAGCAGGAGATGGGCTGCGGCTCAGAGGCAGAGTGTTTGCCTCGCCTGTGTGAGGCACTGGGTTCGACCCTCAGCACCACATATAAATAAATTAATAAAAAATAAAGGTGTAGTGTCCACTGACAACTAAACATATATAAAAGAATTGGTGTTGGTGTGACATATGATTTCTATTCAAGAGCAGGTTCTTTGTTTTCATTCACTCAGATCTTCTTCTGTGTCCTTAAGAGTATTTAATTTTTTTCTCTTAAAGTAGATCCTGCACAGTTCTTCACCTTGCCGCTCTGATCAGTGTGTTGTACTGAGTTTCATAACTAAGTCATCATTTATTTAACCAGTGTCCTCAGTGGACACGTAGGTTAGCTCCATTTTTATTTATTTGA